TTCTCCTCCACCCCATTCTAAATCCCATCATCATCATCATCCAGGAGCCTTTCACATACACACTCTCAAAGTAAGTGAACTTTTACCATTTTGTTGAATTTAGAAATTTCGTGAGCTGGAACCACTACCTCAAAACCCATTGAAACAATGGTTTCGAGCATTAACGCCTTGCCAATCTAACCACCTCTGGAACGGATTGAGTTCAAGTAACTGGGGCCACTATATATATATATATATATATATATATATATATATATATATATATATATATATATATATATATATATATATATATATATATATATATATATATATATATATATATATATATATATATATATATATATATATATATATATATATATATATATATATATATATACAATATAGTCTGCATTTACGCGATCAATTAAACCCATGGAGGTCCGCGTAAAACGAGAAACGCATAAACGTAATAACAGAAAATATGGGATTAATTGAAATAGAGACTGGGCCAACCCCCAAACTACACTTTTTCCGACACAATACGTACGTTGTAGTAAAAATAACATCTTAATTTTATGATGGTATGCACACACAATTAATATTTAAGAGAAATATCAATAATATTAGGTTTTTTAAGACTTACATGTGTAGAAAAGATGGCTGGGCACACGGGGATGTGGGGGTTGGTTCCGAGGCAGAGGGCAGATTATTGGCCCTCACTTGTATAAATTGTATCACTATCCACCACAGAGGCTTGCAGGGCCTCTTTGTCAAACCCCTCAAAGTCCATATCCTCACTATCACTGACTTGGGCCGGCTGTGGTGGGCGGCGGGTGAAGAACTCGGTAATGTTTTGATGACTGGGCGACCTTGTGCACACCCTGCCCGCGCCGCTTCCCGCTTAAATGATAGAATGAACCGTGTAAATAAAAATTGTTGGTCTGACAAGGTGCCGCGTAAATGAGCAAACGCGTAAACCAAATCCGCGTAAATCGAGACTATACTGTATATATATTGTATACGTCATTACTGTAAATGCTCGTTTAGTTAATAAGCGGCAAATCATATTCTTTACAGTACATGCATATACCTTTATAGGCATTGTGTTGATTATACAGTATTAGTTTGATAAATACAATACATATTTCATTTAATGCTTCAGTGTTACAGTGCAATAGTTAAAATTCTCTTGCTGAGTGTACTGTAACACTGAAGCAGCTAAGGTAATTGAATTTGAACTTGCAATGAGCCCCAACACACACACACACACACACACGTGCACGCGCTTGCACTCATTCACAGATTTAATACAGTTGATATCCTCTGGCCTTTTCACAGGTATCAGTTGTGCAACTATCTCCAACTCAGCTGTCAGTAGATGTATTCTCTGGGGGCAGTCACTTAGAGCTACGGGCAGAAATTCAAGTGCGAGGCGTCCATAACTCGGTGGATCACCTTCTGCTGTGGAATATGAAGAAGATGGTTGTTTATGAAATAACTTCTGATGCTACTCATCTTCGAGTTGTTGGTGAGCAGTAGCATTAAAGTGATGAGGTTTTATTCATTTTAATTACTTAGTCATTGCATAATGGGTTTTTGCATAATGTAGGATTATGTATAGAATCTAACCTAAACACACACCTGCAGTCTTGTATGAGAAACCTTTAAACAATACAGGTACTCTGTAACATCTGCCAGATATTCCTTTAGTTAAACACAACCTCATCCTCTGCATACAGGTTCCGTTAGCTGTTAGGCCTTACTGTTTATTTTCCACACACCCGAACAGTTAGTTAGTCAGTGAGTGGTTTATAGAACTGCTGGGTCATATAATAGTTACAGTAGATGTGTATTACAGTACAGTACACAGTTTGCATTTAACCTCTTGCCATAACCATTCATTTCCAAAAATTGTTTAGAAAATGAAATCCATTATGAAATCTCTACATATGGACAAAGTAAGACATTTAACTTTTTGTTGCATGTATATCTTTTGTATAAGAAATTATTATTCAACCATTTACACTGTACTGTAATTATATAGAAATTGTGAAAAAATATAAAGAGTACATCAACAAAATCATCGTCAAACTATATGTTGAAATATTGCAACACGCTATTATCTGGGTCACATATATAATTTGCAGAAGCCCCACTGGTGTATGGAAATCATGGGGAGGCTGGACAAGAGGAAGAGTCCAAGTCCACCTTTCTAACCCTGAACATCTGTCGGCTTGCTGGCTTGTCATAAGAGTCTGAGTTTTCAGTGTCATACAGCTTCACTGAATGACTGTCAATGAGTCTTGTGTTGCCTTCTATTGATAGGAAACGGACCAAATCAAAAGTCCAAGTTTACTCGGGCTTGTATTGTATTATAAAAACAAGAACAACAACATGATTTAACTCGTGAAGAACTCATTTTGCATAGACTTTTCTCAAGTTTACTTGTTTTAGTAAGGCAAGGGGTTAATCGTGCTGCAGCTATTTATTTTCATATATAAACCTTAACCTTAGTACAGTACTGTGTGGACATTGACACTGATGATATCATAGACTGGTTCTGGGACAGTATAGTATTTGCTAGTAATACAATATTACTGTATTGTATTACCAGCTCTGTCTCTCACTTTATTTTATAGAAAAACTCCCCATTAGCTGAAATCCCCAGTCCCCAGAACTCTCCAATAGCTAGGATTGAAATCAGTTCATAATTTTTCCAGAAAATTTTTATCTATTCCAAGTCTGGGAACAAGTTTTCGAGGTTGATTATAATCGGTTGCATTTTCTGAGAAAATTCCGGAAAATCTCTCCACTTTTTTTCTCCTGGGTGTGGGAACAAATTCCGAGGATGAAATACAGTACAGTATTGTGCTATTTCCGAAAAAATTCTGAGAAAATCTCGCCAAACCTTTCTGCCATAGGCCTGGGGACAAAGGTTTTGGGAGTGACAAAAGATTGCATTATGCTCAGACATGTCCTCACGTGCTGGGTGTGTGGTTGGGAAGACAGCTTGGGTAACTTGGGCATAGGTTAGAATGCTGTGATTGGCTCATGCTGTCGTGTGACTGCGTGGGATGCCTGTGATAGGCTGATGCATCTGCCAGCTTATCCCCTCTAAGCTATAATCATGATGCACTCAGTGTCAATACTTAAAGAGTGATACAGTTACGTATACTGTTCTGTACATCAGTAAATGTGAAAGTACCATATGTACAGGAAAAGGGAAACACTGAAGCACCTTAGCTTTTTTGTCTTTATTCAATTCATCCAAACAATGGATGACCTGACATTGCATCAGAAGGTCAGTAACAACTAACAAGGTCATTACTCCCCCACCACATATGAGAGAACTTTTATACAATGGGTGACCTAACATTGCTTCAGTTCAGTAACATGAGACCGACTAATCCCTTACCCCATCTACATCCCAAGTGTTAAGACATAAAAGTGATTACAGTTACATATTACATTCAGCAGAGTGGGCAGTGTATGCCTTCTGTAGGCTCAAGACAACAGCATATGGTGGTGAGTACATACAGTGCAGTAGTAGTACGGTATACATTATTTTGTATATTTACAATATATTGAACTTGTCCAGTGGTGTTTGCCTAAATAAATACAACTCCGTACGTCATTTAGACTTGGGAATATTTTCCCCAGTGCAGGGTGGAAAATTCCACTGTCTTGGCTGTGACATGCAACTCCATTCACACCTCAATCACATGTATCATAGAATTTTTATTGGTTTTTAAACATGTTTATTTAACCAAGCTTTTTTATAAACTAATCGGGAATATTTGGGAAAAAATAGTATTTCTTACTTAATTAGAACTGATTTTATAGACTCTGTTATCAACATTTCCTATGTTTAAAGAAAATAAAGAATTAAGTCCATCATTAAATCCTGTTGAAATATTTTGTTACAGGATCTTTTGTTGAAACAGTCATGTAAAGAATTTATTCAGGATTATTATGGTACCAAATTTATCTCGTAACACTATTAGAACAGATGGTAAGAAAAGTATATATAGTATTCCGCTATCTGTAAATATTTTGCTCTTGCTCTGGTCTAAATGTAAGGGAAGTGTTTGTCTGTAGGAGATGAGATGGTGAGATGCATAGTTTAGAGTCGAGCTGAGATGCTTTGTTTGACTCCTTTAAACTCTTGGCTTTCCCCATTCTCAGAAACATTCTGGGGATGTAGGATAGTGTCTGTCCATGCAAGATGCATAGTTTAGACTCTCAGAAACTTTTCCCATTACTTGAAAAAATTCCGAAATGGGATTTTCCAGGTTTGAATTCGACTCATTACCTGAAATCTTTCAAACCAGGCCTCCGCACCAATTATTCCGCTAATGGGATACAGTATCATTGTACAAGGTGAGCCAAAAGTCACTGTGCACCTACTGGCGACAAGTATGTTTATCAATGAGCGAATCAATTGAGCGTTATTGTATTTTCTGCTCGGTGGGGGCAATGAAAACAGTTTACTCTCCTTGACTGAAGGAACACAGATCTCATAGGAACATCTCTCCGATTGAATTGTCCGTGTCTTGCAAACAAGATTAGAGGTGTGTTTAAGGCACGTGGATGCCATTTCCAACATTTGTTGTAACTAATTAAGTGTGGAGATGTACTCTATTTGTATTAATGTACAGAGACTGAATATACTCATCGTCTGCAGTAGGTGCACAGTGACTTTTGGCTGCCTCTAGCTAAAATGTGAGTAGATAAATGGAGGATAAAGGTGGCTGTAATGATTAAAAAAAATTATAGAGTAAAATAAGGAAATGATAGACTAAAAGCAAAAAATAAGATTTGAGGCAGGATTAGTTTATCATATGTACTAACAATTTTAAATTCTTTTAACAGCATCATTCCCATGTGAAGCTGAAAGTGCAGTCTTACACAGTAGTGTATATTCCATTAGAGTGGCAGTATTCAAGTCGTTCCTCAAGGGTACAGTGAAGCAGACCCTCAACTTCACAGAGAGTGGTGAACCAATCGACCTTGATGTATGTGGGATTTTGGTAACTGCTACTCCAAGGTTGTAAACTGGCCTGTCCGATGCGGATAATTTTTTATGTTGAGTTACCTATATATATATATATATATATATATATATATATATATATATATATATATATATAAGTAGTTCTGCTATATGTGATAATTGTGTTCTTGTAAAATGTCGTGTTATAGAAATCATAATAGAAATAACAGGCTTATGGAAAATAGGGTTAGGTGCAGATTACCAATCAAAAAATTTAGTAGTTACTTACACAAAGAATGTACAGTCTAAATAAATGTTACATTCATATCTAATAATGAAATCATACAGTAAATTTAACATAACCTTGAAAAATATAGATATGTAACGATGGGGAAGGTGATTTTGAGGTTGATAAATGAGCTTCTCTTCAAGTGTTATATCCTTTCTTTCTGATAATCAGATTCTATCATCAGAAGCCTTTTTTGGAGATATTCTTCTTTACCATATTCACAGTTAATACACAAATTGGAGAAATAGTAAGCAAAATCAAGAGTAGCAAACAAGCGTTGCGTATACAAATATTGTTCCGAATTCATAAATCGCGAGAGCAATTACAGTATCAAAACCGTGTTATAGCAGAACTCACTGTATATATATATATATATATATATATATGTACATATATATATATATATATATGTATATATATAGTATGTATATATATATATGTGTATATATGTATATATATGTATATATATATATATATATATATATATATATATATATATATATATATATATATATATATATGTATATATATATATATATATATATATATATATATATATATATATATATATATATATATATATATATATATATATATATATATATATATATATATATATATATATTTATATATATATATATATTTTGATAAAATCACACGGGAAAATGGAAACAACGGAGTACCTTAGCTTTCGTCTTTATTCAAGACATCTTCAGAGGCAACTGGATTACATGGACAGAGAGAGGCTTAAATATACAGGGTGACCTAAAAACATGAGGTCAGGTCATAATAATGACATCCACTAATCCACACACCAACACCAACGTAGAGGAGCTTAAGAGAAGGGTGGTGACGTGACTAGACAGGTCAGGTCAGAAAAAAGGGACCCACAAAATAACTATCATACATCTAGATCAAATGTTTTCAAAGCATTTTTAACCTTGGGCCACTGACAAATAAATTTATGTAACATATTATCAGTTTTGAACTGACCATCACTAAGGTTTATTGATTTTAATTCCTTAATCAAACTAGCTTCAACCAGAAGTCTTTCTGTGACACAAGATGATTTGAATACTTCTAAGCTTTTTTCCAAGCAATGGGGTGATTATTATTCCTAACATGAACAAACAAGGCACTGCTTTCAGATGCAGTTCTGATATTATACTTATGTTGTTTGATTCTGAGCTGCAGTGTTTTTCCTGTCTGACCTACATAATTACAATTACATTTGCTACATGGAATACAATAAACACTTCCATTTACATTCAAACTTGGGCTATTCCTTATTAACATATTGGTAATGGTGGAGTCATAATTGAAAACAACATTAATATTTAGAAGCTTGAGGGACCGAACTAACGGGACAAATTCATTACGATAGGGCAGAGTCAAAATATTCTTAAGTGTAGGAACTTGTCTGGTTTGAGAGGAATGAAAGGATTTTTTAGCCCTTTTAAAACAACGATCGACAAACACAGAAGGGTACCCGAGTTTCTGTGCAATAGAACGAATGTGTTTCAATTCATCGTCAATAAATTCAGAGTCACAAATACGCAGACATCTTAAGAACATAGCAGAAAAAAACTGACATTTTGGTAGACTCAAGGTGATTCGATAAAAAGTGAATGAAACTGTCTACCTGTGTGGGCTTTCTATATACCTTAAATTTATAGTTTTGGCCATTTCTCATGATAAGCATATCAAGAAATGGAAGGGATTCACTTATTTCTCTTTCAATTTTGAATGTGATACTAGGGACAATATTATTAAGCTTGTCTAAAAATTCCAATGGGTCACTGTTTTTAGGCCAAAGACAAAGAACATCATCTACATATCTATACCAAGGAGGAATAAAGTCCACTATATTGGGTAGTAATCTAGACTCAAAAAACTCCATATAAATACAGGCTAGAGGAGCAGAAAGACAATTACCCATGCTCATACCAAATATTTGCTTGTAGAACTTCCCATTTGCTCTAAACACATTGTCAGTTACGCATAACTCTATCAATTTCAGGAAAGTATCATGTTCAATAGTTAAATCTAGCAGTTGTAATTTATCTTTAAGAAATGAAAGTAAGTCTTTCACAGGTACTCTAGTGAACAGTGAATTTACATTATAACTTATTAATTCGCAAGGTTCGTTGTGTTTCTTGAGTTTATCAATTAAATCACTGCTATTGCGTATATGTGAATTAGATATTTGGCCTGTAAGAGGGGATATCATCTTTACCAGCCACTTGGATAATTTGTAAGTAACAGAACCCACAGCTCTCAAATCAATCCCACTTTACCTTATATGTATGGATTGATCAAAACACACAAGCTTAATAATCCATTACGTCCTATCGTGAGTTCTGTGGGTTCTGTTACTTACATATTTGCTCTCTGTCCATGTAATCCAGTTGCCTCTGAAGATGTCTTGAATAAAGACAAAAGCTAAGGTACTGCTGTTTCCATTTTTCCGCGATTTTATCAAGATTTATCTTATCCACGCATTTTTTATGATATATATATATATATATATATATATATATATATATATATATATATATATATATATATATATATATATATATATATATATATATATATATATATATATATATATATATATATATATATATATATATATATATATATATATATATATATATATATATATATATATATATATATATATATATATATATATTATATATATATATATATATATATATATATATATATATATATATATATATATATATATATATATATATATATATATATATATATATATATATATATATATATATATATATATATATATATATATATATATATATATATATATATAATCGTTAATCTAATGGTTCGATTAACTAAATTTTGGTTAACAATTGGCTCTCATAAGATTTTCAGTTTGATTAATCTAACAAAGCTACAATTAATCTAAATCCTTATGACAAACTTGTTTTGTTGTGTGCATCAGCTGATCAGCTAATCTGCCAATACAGTAATTGGTTCTATGTTTACATTCGTTTCAGTGAAGTAAATATCAAGAAAGTTGGTTTCTTGAATATTTCTGCATTTCATATTAAAATTATTGGTCATTCTGAAATTTAGTTCCCATATTGATAATATCGACAGTACAGGGAACAGTTTTGTGTGCCCATCAGCTGATTGAATCACCCAACAACCCTTCTCAGTTTAACTTTGTTTACAGTGGAGTGAACATAGGTTTTGTTGGTCTCTTGAATATTATTGCATTTTTACATTAAAATTACAGGAACCTCACTTTACGCGGTCAATTGAACCCACAGAGGCTCGTGAAAGCGAGAAACGCAGAAGTGAACAACATAACATATGGGATTAAATGAAATAGAGACCGCTGACCCCCAAACTCCACTTTTTCCGCACAATACCTATGTTCTAGTAATAATAACATCTTAATTTTATGATGGTACATGCTAACAATTAATACTTAAGAGAAATACAGTCGCAAGTTAATGTCCATTCAAATAATGGACTCAACTCCTCTTCACTTCTGGCTTCCTTCTGAAAAATGTTTGGGGAAAACCACTAGATTTTAAGGTATAGTAATAAATAAAGTTAGATAATATAATTGACATTGCTGGATTTCTTGTAAGACCAGGAATATTTTGAATATAAATGTCATATATTTTGCACAAAGATAACAATACTTACTCAGAGTAAACAAAAATACTTAAAGTAGATCTAAATTTGTATGTCTAATGCAAAACTACGTGTTTATATTCAAATGATCATCAAATTGTAAGATTCCAGCAATGTAAATTATATTCTGGCCCGGTAATTTGTATGAATTTTATGAGCTAAAACAAATATCTTCAATAAATAAACAAAATATACTTACTCAAATACTATCTGTCAATCAAAATACCCCACCTCCTTCCCACCTGCTCCTGGGTCCCTCCTCCTCCCTCCCTACCTCACCCCACCTTCCCTCCTACCAGAGAAATGATTGGGTTATAACAGTATATTTACATTTTTAGTAATAAATAATACCTCAGACTAAAGTTAGGATAATATAATTGACATTGCTGGATTCCTTGCAAGACCAGGAATATTTTGAATATACACTTCATATATTTTGCACAAAAGATAACAGATTTGTTCTGAGTAAACAAAATACAGTAGTACCCGGTCAATTGAACCCACAGGGTACCGTGTTAAGTGAAAACAGTAAGTGAACAACAGGACATATGGGATTAATTCCAATAGAGACTGGCCTGCCCCCCAAACTCTACTTTCTCGGACACAATACCTATGTTCTAGTAAAAATAACATCTTAATTTTATAATGGTACATGCACACAATTAATACTTAAGAGAAGAGAAAATACAGTCGCTAGTTAATGTCCATTCAAATAATGGACTCAACTCTCCCCTCTTCTCACACTACACTGCTGGCTCTCCTCTCTGAGAAATTTTGGGGAAAAACCACTGGATTTTAATAAATAATACCTCAAACTAAAGTTAGGATAATATAATTGGCATTGCTGATTTTGTAAGACCAGGAATATTTTGAATATAAATGTCATATATTTTGCACAAAAGATAACATATTTACTCAGAGTAAACATTATATCTAAAATTTGTATGTCTAATGCAAAAATTCACTTATGTTTATATTCAAAATGATCATCAAATTGTAAGAATTCCAGCAATGTAAATTATATTTTGGCGGGTAATTTGTATGAATTTTAT